TCTGCTTACTAACAAATCGGCGAATTTCATGGTCACTACTAGGATGTAGTTCTAGGGTTAAGTGAATTTTGTATGGCACATATGCAAGTTTTTTTTTTAAAATAGTGCATAAAGACTTGCGGCGAATACCCAGTTCTTGAGAACGATGTCTGGTAGACGTTTCAGGGCGCTCCACTACACTTTAATCAACTCTCTCGATATTTTTCGGAATTACTGATATGTATTGGTAACTATTAGTAAAAATGGCCGATTTGTCAATATATAGTCTCCTAAGAAGTTAAAACAAAATAAACATAAACAAATAAAATAAAATGGTAAAACATTAATCAGATGCAGGGCTTGAATGGGAAATTATAAGATAGCATTGAGTGATTCCTATTTACAGAGGCCGCTTTCTCTTACATTTGATGTCTAAACGCTATCTGACATGTGCAATTTCTAGGATTCGTTATCGCGTTTTTGCAGCAAGCTATGCATATGTTGCATACAAATACTCGTTTGCCTGTATACGTTATTTATATCTGCATAAGTGTTGATTGCATAAAATTTAGAGGCTGGGGTGTACCGTTATCTCACATGCACATATATTCCTATTGATTTACAATATTGATTAACGTATTCTAATGCTATATTCGCGCGTCCGAAATACTATCAGCGATAAATGATATACAGGGTGGTCCATAAGTCTTTTGAAATTTCAAATTTGAATAAAATTTAACGGGTGAGCGTGAGCGGCGCGGGCGAGGTGGGGGCAGTATCTTCAGTGTCTGGGAATTCAGTCGCCATGGAGTGTTTCACTGGAGCGGATCGTGCTTTTTGTGTGCGCGCGTTTTATCAAAATAATGATTCGGCAACCATTGCGCGGCGTAAATATCGAGAATACCACAATTTACACAATTTTACAAAGTGTCCAACAGCTCAAACGATTAAGAACTGGGTTGCTAAGTTCGAAGAGACTGGGTTCGACGTTAGATAAACAGCGGTGGGGTCGACCAAGGACAACTCGTATTGAAGAAAACATCAACATTGTGGCACAGTCTGTTCGTCAAAATCCTACCCAGTCTACTCGTAAGCGTTCCAGTGCACTAAACGTACCCAGAACATCTTTACAGCGGATTTTAAGGAAAGATTTACGTCTGCACGCTTACAAAATTCAGTTAGTGCAGGAATTAAAAGATAATGACGCTATTCAGAGACTAAACTTTGCGAATGAAATGTTGAATCGATTTTCTTCGCTCAATAATGTGTTGTTCTCGGACGAGGCTCACTTCCATTTAAACGGGCATGTAAATAAACAAAATTGCCGTTATTGGAGCCCCGAAAATCCAAGACGTAAGCATCAGAAGCCCTTACACAAGTTACAGTTACAGTTTGGGCTGCTATGTCAGCGCATGGCATCGTAGGCCCTTATTTTTTGAGGACGACAGAGGTCGCGCATTAACTGTTACTTCGGAGCGGTATGTAGCAATGATAGAAGAGTTTTTGACACCAGCGTTGCAGAATTTTCCAGGCTATAATACGCAGACCTGGTTTCAACAGGACGGAGCAACTGCCCACACCTCCAACACTTCTATGCCCGTCGTCTATCAACTTTTTCCCAGCAAAGTAATTTCTCGAAGAGGAGACATTTCCTGGCCACCACGTAGTCCAGATTTGATCCCAATGGACTTCTTTTTATGGGGCTACCTCAAGAGTAAAGTGTACGACACCACTCCGCGATCAGTTGATGTCCTGAAAGAAAATATCCGAAGAGAAATGGCAAGCATTACAGTGTTAACTTGCCGCGCAGTCATCGACAATTTTAGATGTCGTTTATATGTGTGCCGTGATCGTAGTGGATTGCATTTAGACGATGTGATTTTTAAAACATAATTCCCATTCAATAAAGATGATAACAAAATATAATAAATCTTCATAACGTAACTAGTTTGGTTTTATTCCTTTTTTTCCAGCTCAAAGGACTTATGGGCCACCCTGTATCGTAGTACATCTACTACAATTCTAGCTATAATTAGGTTAGGCTATCTTGGAGCACGGATTCGGTATCAGCAGACCAAGAACCTCCGGCAAAATACAGGGTGTAAACGTTATGACAGTCATTATTTAAATGGGTGATAGAGGGGGATTTTTGTCTAAGTGGCTTTATAGTTTACAACTTTGCCTTCGATCACAATCGCCACAATCTTACTAATTTTTGTAATCTAATCTCAAACGTTTTTACAATTCGGTAATTAACAAATAAATTGCATTAATTTTTTCCAAGTTAAGCTAAAATTGAATGTTTTAAAAAAATCCACTTATAAATAGGGAACACAATTCGGATACATACATTGTTTTCCTTTTTAAAACCCACACTGCACTTTTTTGTATTTAAAGAAGGTGTTCAAAATGTCGTCATCCACTTTAAACACAAGCTTCATTACGACGAACCTAGTTTCTTCTTACTCTATGTCCTCGCATTTGTCCATTTATTATTTCAGCCGCATTAAAAATTTTTTCGCGACGACGTACGCGAACAAAAACAAAACAACATACTAACCACTGTAACCGTTTGCGATCGATTGCCGGTTCGATAAGAGTGATGATGACCGACGCGCTATTGTCAAGTGTGTTTTAAATATTCAATGTAATGAAATTTACTTACTGACTACAAATTTTGGCTTAACTTAGAAAAACCTAATGCCATTTATTTGTTAATTACCCAATTTAAAAACGTTATAGTTTGGATTATAAAAATTGGTAAGATTGTGGTGAATATAAAGCACTTAAAGTTGTAAACTATAAAGCCATTTAGACAAAAATCGTCATTTAAATGTTTGTCTCATGTTTTGGAAGCAACTTGTAGATATATTCATGGTTATATCTTCGTGTTATTTGCAAGGAGAATAAACAGCGTGTATATTTTGCTATAAACAGCCGCAGATAAAATCAGCAATATCTCTTGGTATAAAAAATTACTCGGTCATTAATAATGGACAATCAGTATACTGAGTCATTATGGGTCAACGACATGCGGAGGACGTATTCGCTCACAGCGATTTAAGCATTTAAGGTCATGCCGAAAAGGACTCGTTTTTTAATATAACTAACTTTGAATGAGTCAATAGGTGGAGTCCAGCACATCTAACCTTACCATTTATTTTTTGAGCTGAGCTTATGCAAGCCATTTAGTAGGTCCGATCCTCGGGTTTCAAGACCGAACTTTGCGTCCTCCGCTGGGATGTTACGGCGTCAAGTAGATTGACTCTGACACTTCATAAGCATGTCACTCCGGCGTGGTATTTCTGGGCGACCCTGTATAATCTCGTGACGTTGAAAAATTTGTTCAATCAATCGATTTGCATAGTATATACTGTGTTTAGGTGTTTACGTTTTTTGTCACTCGGTATATTTTTTATGCGACGGTTTAGGTGTGAAAAAATTCGCTACGTCTCGCTAGCAGCGTCAGGTTACATTTAGGAGGAATCCCACTTCGAGAGAGCATTCCCAAGTGTGCTGCGCGCCCCTCCATACTGACAACGCACTGCTTATGAATAACAAAAGGGATGCTACAAAGGGAGTAAATTTGTATAAGAAATCCAAAGGGGTAGGTAGCTCTTTCGCTGTTGCCAGAAGGATAATAACAGATGAGTGATGACACTGTCAAAAAATCTTAGACAATCAACATCTGCGTGTGTTATTCAAATCAGGCCATGAAAATCTTTGGACTGAGCATTTGCCGTTTCGGTTGAATTTACGTTACGATGATTGAAAAGGGATTTACATTCATTCCAGACCTTGACCAGCGAAAGCGAAGGCTATTGCAAACAACCTTATTATACAGGTCTATGCTAAAAAATACAAGGGTGGTTCTGTAGACTGGTTGATCGCTTGGAGATTTTGAAAATAGCTTAGTCTTAAAAATACCCTCATGTTTTCACACCTAAGCTATGTAGTGTGAAAAATAATGATGGACCGTTTGAGCACTGAACATTTGGACAGTAAGCTCATTACACTTTTGGCATGTTCGGATGGAAGGCGGACTCGGGGGAACAATAGGAACTCCCTCATACAAAATTTGCGATGAGCTACTTGAATATCTCGCTGTCAAAGTCTGTGGGATTAACAGCAAGATTCATGCTGTTCACTACTAAACCAAAATCTCTGATTCTCTTGCAGCCAACCATCTTAGTTTTTCGAACTACGAGGTTCACTCCAATTTGAGGAAGAACGGGGGAGTTACCTTCAGGCATAACACCGACGTCTCTCGACATCACCAAAGGTTTTGGTTCCTGCTAATGTGCAGTAAAGCTTTCTCCAATTCTTTAGATATCTCATGATCAGCCCATCCAAAAAAAGGGATCTGTGGCTGATCCTATAACTCTGTTTTCTGTTATAGGTAATGTGAGGAAGAAGTGCATACATCGGAAGCTCGAACATCACGGCTGTGGAGCAAACTCATACCGTGAGGCTCATGTCGTTGCTCTTGATATCATGAAAGCTTTTGATCATCTGTGGAACGATGTCCGCTTATGTAGAAAATAACGTTCATATTTCGATGTCATTATGACAAAAGGATACTAGACTGACAAGGGCTATGACAGTATTAAGAATCTGCCAGTGGCAGCGTAGTAAACTTTGAAAACCAATGCATCATCTGACCCTCTATAGTTTAGAAAATCTTAATCGGATATTGATGAAACATTGAAAAATGGTTATTACAGCGATGAAGACCAAAACTTTCCAAAGCTTTGCCGACTGAGTGACGATTGAAAATAAATATAATTGATCATCTGTAGCTCAGAAAGTATTATTTTTTTACAAGGTTACTATTATGGCAGGCAAAAAAGAATAGTAAGTTGAAAATCAGTAAAGAGGTGCCGGAGTAACTGTCAATGATTCTATGATTTTGACGGTACTTTGCCATAAGGTTTTTTAGCAACGATGTTACGAGGAAGAATGAAATATTCAATATTCGTTTTCAAGTTTATGCTAGCTTTTCGGGTATATTGATGACTTACGGCCAAATATCGGTAAGCTTATCCTTCCCATCAGGCTGCAAGGAGGGTAGTTTGTAGTACTCGCAGATGAAGCCCATGGTGGCGGACTGTTCATCAGCACCCCCGCCAATGTTCAACATGGCAGTTGTGGCCGCGGTTAGGGGATGTTCGTAGTAGGCCCTCCAGGTTTGTTGGTCGTCGTGCTGGGGGTGTGACTGGTGTCCGTCCGGGATGTCGGCCATGCCACGTTGGTGGGAGCCAACTGGCCCTGCGCCTTGGCCTGCGCCTGGGCCCGGGCCGGGCCCGGGTCCGGCTGGGGGACCGGCGCCGGCGCCGGAAGGCTCACTGCTGCCGCCTCCGCCTGTGCCAGTGCCACTTGACGGGGTACCGCTGCCACCTCTCTCGTCGTTTGCACCTGACGATGAAGATGGAGCTGCCTCTTTGCGTTTTCTGGAAGAAATAAGCTTGCTACAGAGTCCGCACTACCACAGTATAGGGCCAGTACAGCCTCTTACATAAGGATCACTAATATAACAGCGACTGGCACAGCGGTGCAGGCTCGGACTGTGTTTTTAGAGCTGTTTGATTACGTTATGAATCAAACATGTTCTTTACGTGGACTGTCTGAGGTTGAGTTTGACCAAAGGCCTTGGGGGCCAAGTGATAACTGATTTTGAAGCTCCTTATTATAACTTTAGAATATAAAATAACTATTATTCAAAATCGCGAACTGGCATGCTGTCAAAATTGATCGTTTTTGTACCTCGAGCATCTTAGAACTCGCAACCAATCATCAAAACCTTCCGATGGATCTACCCGAAGGCTTATTGTTTAGCGAAAACGCTAGAAAGGACTTCGCTAACTTTTGAAAACATACATACACGTTGTAATGTTTGTTCTTCAAATAAAGTGCCATCATTATGAAACATCCTGTATACTAATTCCGTTAATTGCATTCTTTATACTAAATATCATTTTTGAGGGGCCATTTAATCCGCTTGGAAGAAATCCTCGTTTGTTTGTTTCATCGAATAAAGTGTTAGCGATTTAAATGTTTTTCTGTTAATTAACGCAAAGACGTTTAAAATGCAAATTTTACCATTAACGTTTTTTCCAGCATGATTTATACAAATCGAGGGTACTGTGGTATAAAAATTCGAATTTGATGTCGCTACGTCGTGATTTTTATTTCGTAATCTGATACTAGCATGATTAACTATCAGATAAATACCATAATATTTTAGTTGATATCAACCATTTAATCTAAGAATGGCATTGCGCAATCATGTTTTTATGCGATACAGGAGGATGAAGAAAACAATGGAGATATCTCTAGAGCATAGGCTAGGTACAAAATACAGGGTGCGTCATCTATTACTTTTTTCAATTTGAAAATTCAACACGCTTTTTACTAGGTGAAATCGATTTTTTTATTGATAAATGAAGGTTGGCTTATGCCATTTATGTATGAAAAATAACATCAGTCATGTGATCACCGCGGCCAATATCCGAACATCAAAATTTTCAATGACTTTTCCCAGAATAATCGGGTCTATGGCCGCAATTTCAGTCGGAATATTGCGCTTTAGGTCTTGAATTGTGCGGCGACCATTCGCATACACTTTTCCTTTAAAAAATCCCCAAAGAAAATAGTCAAGGGGGGTTAAATCGCACGATCTCGGGGGCCAACTGACATCTGAATTTCGTGAAATTACGCGGTCTTGAAATTTCGTATGGAATCAGGCGATTGTTTGGCGAGATCGTCGACACCAATACGATCCAATTTTGGCCACAAAAAGTCTGTTAAAGTGCCGCGATAACGTTCCCCGTTGACGGTAAATGGCCTTTTCTTCGGCACCAACAAAGAAGGATGGTCCAACGGGTTTAGTGGGTAACAGGTGGTCTCCTCAAGACAACCTGGAGTCCCACACACGCCGTAGCTCGGGCTATGGTATGGTGCGTAAACGCATTCCCCCCTCACAAAAAAAATTCTGATGAGTAAGGAAATCCATGGCTCAGAATATCTCGGCCCTTAGACGGCAATAAACGGGGCAACAGCCCAAAAAGTGAAACGCTGTTTCGTCCTCTGCCCCGCACGTGGGGCAGGTTGGATCTAATCTATTGCATGGAGAGTCACCATGCAATAATAAAGATGTAGCTCAAAACGTTGCCGCAAATTTTGCAATATTTGAGGAGTAATTTGAAGGCACTCATTCACAATTCTTTGTCGCAGGTCTTCTAATGATGTTGGCTGAGTAGCATAGATTTTGCTTTTTAAATGACCCCACATAAAGAAATTCAAAGGTGATAAATCTGGCGATCTTGGGGGCCATTCAATGGCACCTCTTCTACCAATCGATCGATCTGGAAACGTCTGATCTAAATATTGTCGAACACGTAATGCGTAATGTGGTGGGTGCACCATCCTGTTGGAACATCAACCTATTCGCAATGTACCGCCGCTCATTTTGTCTGTTAATGCAGGATCTATGGCGTCTTCCAGTAATTCCAAATACATTTCACCAGTCAAATTTCCAGGTAAGAAAAAAGGACCAACTAAATGATCGCCAAAAATACCAGCCAAAACATTTAATTTTTGTGGCTGCTGTGTATGAACCTCATGATAAATTCTGGGATTAGAATCGGACCAATATCGGCAGTTATGACGATTTACTACTACGTATACAAATCATTGCATTCTTTCGCCTGTGTTACTACTTATACGTCTACGCCCTATTTTTACTAGCCCAGCTATCATCTTTGTATATCATATATGAGTCCAAAACGTCGGTTACATATTTTAGGACGCCTTATATTTCATTCTAATATATCCGTCGGTTTCCAAATGATCCAAATAGACATATCTGATAAGGCACGTACAATGGATTAGGCTTCTGTACGTCACTGACTGATATATACGCGAAAGTTGGAATGAACAACAGGTAAAAAATTCACCACACCCTTATAATGCTTCTAATGCTCTCTGCAAATGAGATCTTGCTATCCCACCTGGTTTTTTATCTATACTTTTGCAGAGTGAAATTCGCTGCGTGGTTTATAGTCGCGAGCTGTAAACATTTTTATTAGCGTCAGACAATTCTGATTTTGAAATTTCATGATGCGTAACACTTGTGGTACTCCAGTCAAATTGTGTAATAAGAATCGTTCTTGAAATGTTGCCCAGAAGCTTTCAGGGCAGATTCGTATCGTTGAAATGTGGAAAAGTGGCGTCAAGTGTGTTGACTCTTCACTTTCCACACAGTGTTTTCATTGATTCATAAAGAATTTTGTATATACAGGGTTTCGCATCGAAAATGAAACAGACACATTTACTGGCTGCTCAGTTTTTTTTTTTGGAAAAACGTTCAGACCCGTCGATTTTGTGTTAGAGGGGGACACAAGTGGCACGAGATATTCAACGTCAAAGTCACATTTCCTCTTTTGAGGATAAACTAAACACGCGAAAGATAGAAAAAATACTATAGCATTTCGTAATGAATCAGATGTTTCCTGTCGAAAACGAAATCCGCAGTTGATAGTTCTCGAGGCGAAATAGTTTATAAATTATTCCAACCATTCACTTTTCACTGACCCAACATCATTGCTTACAAAAAATACAAAATACCTTTCTTTGGAAAACTGCATCTCTACAAAAAAAAAAATAGTAGTAGTCTTTATACTTAAAATTTAATAGAAGCAATATAAAAGAGAATTTAATCTTCTAAAATTGCATCTATTACTTTTTACATAGGATCGACAGTTACGAGATACTCGGTAAAGCGCGTTTATTAAAATGGCGGTTAATGCTCCGACTATACAGAGTGTCCTATCCGACGTTTGAAATAACAAAGATAACACTGATAAACACAGGATTTGTGACATGACAATTTTTGGGTGTACCTTATCTATTTTGAGACCTTTAAACCAAATCCAAAAACAGAATTTTTTCATCACCCACAGATTAACATCTACCTTTACGAATTACAATACAATACGTAACATCTCATATGGCTACATGTCTCGGAGTTTATACGATGATGCACATATATACTAAGTGACATATAAATCCGAACACCCAGTTTAAATGGTTTTATTTAATAAAATTTTGTATAAATACTTAATGAAGCATAATAAGTAAATGATAAAAATTTAAAAATGATTGCACTGCTTTAAAGCCCTTTGACTTTAATAATGTGGGGATGCACCCTGAGTGCTCGCATTCTCCAACGCGCCTAGGCATGCTTCTGATCAGGTGGTCAATGTCCTCCTGTGGTATCTCATTCCAGGCAACCACCACTCCTCTCGAAGTGCTTCTAGAGTCTGACGAGGACGTTGCAAATTGAGCAATCTCCTACCTATCATATCCCACATGTGCTCAATTGGGGATAAGTCGGAAGATCTTGGTGGCCATGGTAACAATGTGACATCATTATGTTGAAAGAAGTCTATTGTGACTCTTGCAACATGTGGTCGGGCATTATCTTGTTGGAAAGTTGGATCTGCCAGGGTGTCAAGATAGGGTAAAAGATGGGGTTCTAGAACTTCGTGGATATACGCTGCGCGTTCATGTTACCTCTGATGAAGATTAAAGGTGACCTGGAACCATAAGCTATAGCACCCCAAACCTAACTCCAACAGTGTGATAACATGTCTTTCACAAAAAACTGTGGATTCCTCTTTCACCACGTCGCCTTCTAACCCTGGCACGACCATCGTGCATGCCTAAACAAATCGAGACTCGTCACTAAAGACAATACTGTTCTATTCCTGATCCCAGAGTGACCGTGGTCTGCACCACTCAAGGCGATTACGTCGGTGTTCTCGATGTAAAGGGAGGACCCATGTGGCCGGTCTGAAAACAAGCAAAACTTCTCATTCGTCGGTAAACACTTCACATGCCAATAGGTCTTCCGTGTTCGCAAACCATTCATTTGCAATGGACGTGGTAGTGGAGAAACGGTCCCTTAAGGCCAATAATCTTAGGCGGCGACCTTCACGGTCTGTTGTTCTACGCGGCGTCCAGTGCCCCTTGCTCTTTGCGTACGGCCTCTTCGAAGCCATGCCTGACAACCACCTAACCACAGTGTCTACACTTCTTTGCACTCTAACTGCAATTGCCCGAAAGAAAGTCCAGCTTCCCGAAGTCCCACTATACGGCCCCTATCAAACTCACTAAGTTGACGAAATCGTACAGGTCTCCGTACTCTAGGCATCGTAACCGATCGTAAAGGATGTCAAGAACCATAAATCCGTCAACGTTGATTCTTACTGCGGCTGAAATATTCATTTTTTAGAGCGTTAGTGAATTAAAAAAAAGCAGTATAAAAACCGGAATGTCCAACCTGATAAGGCTGAAATTTTTTTCACTTGTTATTTACAGTAAGATAATACATTCACCAACTTTTATTAAATAAACCATTTTAAACTGGGTGTCGGATTTATATGTCGTT